GTGATGAAACTGCTTAGAACCTGTGATAAACTGAAGATCTTAAAAACAGATTGAAAAAAGAAATGTTACATACAGGGCAACGAAGATAAGGATGGTATCAGACTTCTTATCAGAAACAGTACAGTTAAGAAAAACAATGTCTTTAAAGTACTGAAATTAAAAAAAAAACCTCTCAACTTAGAATTCTAAACCCAGCAGAAGTATCTATCAAAAAATAAAGGCAAAATAAAAACGTTTTCGGACATACCAAAGCTGAAAGAATTCAGTAGACTTGCAGTATAAGAAATGTTAAAGGACATCCTTATCATTTAAATCTCTTTAAAAGATAAACGGAAGTCTAAACAAAAATTGTAGCAATGTGTTTGGGGGGTTTTAACATATAAGAGTAAAGTGTTTGACAACAGTAGCACAAAAGTCAGAAGGAAGTGGAAGTATACTCTTATAAAGTTCTTATACTATATGTGACATGATATAATGTCACTTGGAGGTAGACTGTGATAGGTTAAAGACGTACACTGTAAACCCTAAAGCAACCACTAAAACAAAACAGTTATAGCTAATAAGATAATAGGAGAGAAAATAGAGTAAAAATAAATTAATGCAAAAGAAGGTAGAAAAAGAGGGGGGAAAGGAACAGAACAGATGGAACAAAGAGAAATCAAATAGCAAGAAGGTATATTTATACCTGACTGTATCAATAATCATATTAAATTATCTTTTAATTCCCCAAATTAAAAAGATATTTTTAGATAGGGGCAGAGCAAGACCCAATTATATATCGCCTGCAAGAAATGCTTTATACATAAAGACAGATCGTTTCAAAGGAAAGGATGGGAAAAGATACATCATGATGATGACATTAATCAAAAGGAAGCTGGAGTGACTGTATTAACATCAAAGTATATTCTTAGACCACAATGGAATTAAATTAGAAAATGAATAACAGAAATAAGTCTGGTAAAATCCCTAAGCACTTGAAAACAAAATTACACAATTCTAAGTAACCCCATGGATCAAAGAAGAAATCAAAAGGGAAATTTTAAAAGTATTTTGAACTGAATGAAAATGAAACCACAACATACCAAACTTGTGGGGTGCTGCTAAAGCAATGCATAGGGAGAAATGTGTAGCACCAAACACCAATATCAAAAGGAAGAAATATCTTAAATCAATAACCTTAGCTTCTACCTTAAGAAACTAGAACAAAAAGAGCAAATTAAAGCCTAAATGAGTAAAAGAAAAGAAATAACAAAGATCAAAGTGGAAATCAATGAAATAGAAAACAAAAACAACAGAAAAAAATCAATGAAACAAATTTTTTCTTAGAGAAGATCAGATCAATCAGGGAAAAAAGGAGGACACTAATTACCAATATCGTGTATAAGAGAAGTGACATTACTACAGATTCTTCAGATACAAAAAGACTAATAAGGAAATGTGGTAAACAACTTTATGTCAATAAATTCAACAATGCAAATGAAGTAGACAAATTCACTGGGAGACAGAAACTACCAAAGCTCATTTAAAAACAAATAAACTGAATTGCCCTATATTTAAAAATTGAATTTATAGTTTTAAAAAAATCCCTCAAAGAAAACTCCATGTCAAGATGGCTTTACTGGTAAATTCTACCAAACATATAATTAAAAAGAAAAAACAGTTATACACAAACTCTTCCCAAAACATTGAAAAGGAAGGAATTCTTTCCAACTTACTATTTTTGATAATGAGGAAGAGGAGGAAGAGGTAGCTAGCATTAGCCTGATATCCAAACCAGATAAAGACGTTGCAAAGAAAGAGAACTACATACTAGTAACCTTCATAAATCTAAATGCAAAAGTTCTAAACAAATCCCTGTCTAAAAAAAAGAAAAAAGAAAAATATGTCATGACTAAGTGGAGACTATTCCATGAATACGGCTTTATTTATAATAGCCAAAAGCTAGAAACAATTCAGTGGGTGAATAGATAAAACAGTTTTATCCATACAGTGGAATATTCAACAAGAACAAAGAATGAACTATTGATACCTGCAGTGCCATGGTTGAATCTCACGTTCTTAGTGGGAAAAAAAAAGCAACAAAAAGAATACATACTGTATGAGTTGCATTTATAGAAAGTGCAAACTAATCTATAGCCATTGGAAGCCCAGCAGTGCTTGCTTGGGGCTGTTGGGGGTGGGGGAGCAGGGCATGGAGGGGTGGGAGTAGATTACCAGTGGGCGTGAGGAACTTTTGGAGGTGATGCATGTATTCACTATCCTGACTGTCATGATGGTCTCACATGTGTACATGTATATCAAACTTATCAAATTATACGCTTTACATAAGTGCATGTCAATTGTACATCAATAAAAACTTCTCAAATTAGCAACATGGAAAATAATTACAATTAGAAGATTAAAAACATTATACAAAATGTATACTATCACAGCAATCAGAATACCAGCAGTACTATTATTTCTGTCATGGTATAGTGGAGTTTTTGCCTTCATTTTCCATATTTTCTATAATATTTTCCTACCTTTTGTGATTATCTACAGCAAAATTACAAATATAAAAAGAAGTGCCCTCTCATAATAATTCTGTTTTTGCTTAACTTTTTATAGGGAATCACTTTAAAAATGAATGAGCTAAATCACTGTATTGTTGCAAGAATCATGCATGGGGGCATGATTCACAGGCAAGGTAAGTTCTGTATATAACTCTTTCGTTTCCTTCCTTAGCTTTTTTTCCTGTAGCCTCGTAGAGAAAGTGTTTTATGAGTCATATAAAAGATCAGCTTAATCTGTGGTTTATATAAATGATCTATTTAAGTTATCGATCTTTGGTTTTAATCACTGTTGGCCTCCATTTGTTCTTACTCATCTGCACATGCTCCAGCCTGTAGATAACGGGGAGGGTATGATCCAGTTCTGCTGCCGGAGCATCTCTGAATCTCTGTTTAGATCCTGACCTATTAGATACCATGGGAAATAAAGTATCATATTGGGCCCCAGGATATATGGAAGACATCTGTACTGGAATATAAGA